GGGTGCTTACCCTGGCGAGAGGCGTGCCGAACATTGCCGACCCCTGATTTATGTCCATGTTAAGTTTCTGGCTAGCTCCCAAAATGCCAGAGATGAATTAAATTATTTTTGCTTCTAAATGAGTTATATTAAAATGATGCAATATTTCAGAAAATAATGTTTTGAAGGAAAGAGTCAGCTGTTGTCCTGTTTGGTACAAATTTTGCATTTGTGATTTTTCTCTTGTTCGATCTATCTATCTTTTTAAGAAAGGGCTGAAATGAGACTTAACTTTGTGATAAGTGGTATATAGTTCTTAAGGTGCCTTTTTTCATGACAACTGACTCAGTGATTTAAAAAAAAAAAGTCATAAACTAGTGATTACTTTTAAAAGGGTCTCAGATAAGAGCGAAAATTTTTGAAGTATTCCTAGCAAACGTGGCAAAACTCCACAAAATATATCAAATGAATGGCACTCACATGTTTAAAATTCTTTACCTGCTTTATCTGCATTGACATACAGAATTTTACAAGTAGAAACAGTTTTATTTGACTATCCTCACTCTGAACATCTCTGCATAGTTACTGTTGGTAAATAGCTGGGTAAAGCTTTAAGATATTGTTCTGTGAGCCCATAATTATATAAATAATCAAGTAATACAAATTGTTTTAAAAAGGCGCATACAGTATCTTATAGTGTTGGGTTTCTTTTTGGTTTATGTGCTTGAAAACCTATGGGGGAGCTTTTTAACTTTGAATCAAATTTCTAAAATCTTTACACTTGGCTGTGTGTGATAGAACACTGGAAATGTTGCTAGACCTTCCAATGCATAAGCAATAACAACAATATATTCATAGGATTTTTTTCTTTTTCTGCCAGTAGCTGAAATAGTACAGCAGTACATTTCTAACTTAGATACTCTTTACTACATAGTTCAGGATTTACCTTTAATTTATCTGCTGTATGATAGCAGTTCTCCACACATTTAACAACGTTCAGTAATTAACTTGGAAACTAGTTAGCTTGGAAAACCTACTACATACTATTGACCTTATGGTGCTTTGACCTCTTTCTTAGCTCTTGTCAAAGGTCCTAAATGGACAACACTTGAAAATAATATCCTATATGTACTCAAAGATCAGATGCAGTACAAACTTTTCCATATCCTTCAGATAATGTACCTGAAGTCTGTGAAGTTCCTATCTCTGAGAGTTAGTCTCAATCTTTTTGCCCATTCAGAGTTTTTACCTTTCTGCTGAGACTGCTAACAAAGATGTGAATTGAAGTGTTGGCTTTGTGATATGCTTACTTGTTCACTAGAAACTGGACGGAGACCAACCACTCACTTATGTATCACAAGTTACTGAATGTTGTTGTAAAATCACTCAAGGTATGATTTTGTCACTGTACAAGCATATCGAAAGACATGGTCTCTGCCATGAGGAGCTTACATTATAGAAAAGCAATCAAATAGTAGTTTTTGGTCACCACAAGACTTAATTCACACTAATCTAGAATTGAAGGACTTGTTTGGAGGATCAATAATAGCATAACATTTTCTCTTAGTTTATTACAATGTTTTATATATTTAGGAGGAGGATGCAGAAGTGGAAGGAATACAGTATGAGACACTAAGAACGTTTCATCATGGGATCAGAGTCGATGCCATAGCATGGAGTCCAGAAACCAGACTGGATGCTTTACCTCCCCAGATAAGGTATTTTAAAAATGTTTTTAAGTACAGAAACAACTTTTCTTTTGTCTGTCCACCTTTTATTCCTTATGCAAAAGTAAAGTTAGACTCACTGAATGAAATCCTAGCCCCATTGGAGTCAATGGCAAAACTCCCATTGACTGCAGTGGGGTCAGAATTTCACCCTTTGGCTTTAGTTAATTTTTACTTTTTTCAAAGAACAATTCAGTTGTGAATTAGTCAAAATAATTAATATGAAAGTGGGTGAAAATAAAATGTAATTAATCTTCTCTGTAGTCTGTCTAGAAAGAACACTGCTAGGGACTTTTTGTAATGCCCTACTCTACAACAATCAAGTCTGCATTAGGACTGGATGAAATGCTCTCTCTGGTACAGGCCAATGTCATGCAAGATTCAGATGTTATTTGTGAAACCATAGAACTGTGGGACTAAAGTAAAAGAGCATTAAAACCTGGTTTTATACTTTTATTAAGTCTGAACAAACTGCTGACCCTTAAATAGTAGTACCTGTTTATCAATTAGAAGTACTTTTAATGTTCAAGCAGTGTTTCAAACATGGTGTATAAATGCCAAATCTGATGTTTGTTAAAATAAAATGTTTAGTGTTAATACCATTCTTCTGTTTTAAACCGCTACTAAAGCATGCTAGAAATTGCTTTATGAACTTACATTAGGATCTCCTTCAATTGCTATTATAAATGTTTTAACTTCTCTAGCCATTTGACCACCACTGGTAACAATAAGTGCAAATGCTAATTATAATTTACTATTTTCAAAGATTTCACAATTGATTCATTATGTGACTTATTTGGTTGGGCAAAATGGATAGTTTTCTTTCAATATAAAGTAACCCTGCCACCTGACATGCAGCTACAATACACTGCATTCAAATTAATACTGTAAAGACTGTTAGGTCCAAAAGAGAATTATAATATTTAGAAGCATTTTCATTTTCAAAAGCATAATCTGAATTTCCTTCTGAAAAATGAAGTGAATCTTTAACTTAAGTTGGGATGGAAATTTTGCAAGTGAGAAATGATTGAAGGGCTTTTTCCGCCCCCGCCCCTCTGATTATTCTAGATTTTGTACTGCAGCTGCTGATAGGAAGTTAAGGCTGTTCACTTCAGATCTCCAGGATAAGCATGAATACAAGGTAAAATACACATTATTAGAATTTATTTTTCTATCTTTTTAGCCTCTAGTAGAATTTAGTCTGTTTATTTTATCCCCTAACCTATATGTTGTATTAAAAGCTAGCTAACTGTATTTGTACTGTAAAAGAAATATCTACTATTATGATCCGCAACATTGAATGTATCCTAATACCTGGAAACATTTAATCAATACATTAAAGAAGGAAATGTCTGCATGCAGCAGGTAATTGCAATTTATTCCTGTTCTGTACTTCTTAATAGAAAAGAAAAATGACTGCATAACTGAATTTAACAGAATTCTAGAACAGCAAGTATTATTTATGCTTGGACTAAAATGAGGCAAGGACAGATTGTCAACATGTGAGCTTGAAGTGGGGAAGTGAAAAGATTCTATTACATACTGAAAGCTGGGGGCAAAAGTTCATACTAATGTTTTTAATATCTAGGCTTTCTTTAGGAAAGTTCTATAAAGGAAAGAGCGAGTGAGTATAAATTAGGGATACAGCATAAATGTTTATTTTAAAATGGTTGGGAAATCATTATTAATTTCTGTTTTCATTGCAACTTTTAAGATTCTCCTTCTATAATCATCATAATTGAAAGCATTAATACTGAAATCAGTGCAGTCACATATACCATAATTGTAGACAATTCTGAGAAATACATTCTTAGACCAGCAATTGCTTTTTTGTGAAGCCATATGAAAACAAACACATATTTCAAAGAATGTTTATAAATGCATTAGTCTTTTATTCCATTTATTTAAGGCAGAGGTTCTCAAACTGGATGGTGCGGAATGTATTCCCGTGTTTGGGGGGGGGATGTGAGAAGCCGCTCTTGCCTTCAGAGCTGGGTGGGCTGGAGAGCGGCGGTTGCTGGCCTGGCACCCAGCTCTGAAGGAAGTAAGTGTGGCATGGTGTAGTATTGCCATCATTACTTCTGCACTGCTGCTGGCGGCGGTGCTGCCTTAAGAGCTGGGCACCTGGCCAGCAGCTGCTGCTCTCTAGCCACCCAGCTCTGAAGGCAGTGCCGCCACCTGCTGCAGTGGAGAACTCATATATCTGCTTTAGAAACTTGTCTTGTGAAAATTTTATCTACAGTCATTTTTTGTAATGCCTACGTGACTTAGGCTCCAAAATCCCTTTTCAAAAGTGAGCATTTTGGGTTTCTGAAAATTCTACCTTACATCTTGATCCATAATCGCATTCTAGTTCCTACACTTATTGTGTAATTGACTGTACTAATTAGTGCATACAAATGTTCAATTGAAATTCAAGAAAAATTTGCTAGGAAAATCGACACTGCTGAGAACCACATTTATTTTTTTCTCATCAGCATTTTCATTTGTGGTGTATTAACCTGTCAGTTTTATATTTTTATAAAATATATTATGCATTTTTGCTTTATAAATTCTTTCATTTTTACTTATTGTATTGTACCTTAATCAGGTTTCAGCTCATCTGCCTTATGTATGATGATTGATTTCTTCTGTGGTTTAAACGGACAATGGAAAAAAGCCATAATTCAATCAGTAAAGAACCAAAATGAGTATGTGTGTTTGGAATGTAAACACATGTGCACATGAAGTTGCATGCATCACCCAGCGGTGCTGTATCATGTGTATACACTCCTGCCCCTAGATCCAGCACTTTCCTAAAAGGAGGAGAGGCTGCAGGAATCACTGTCTTTACTGTTGTGCCATTCTTGATCCACCCTCCTAAGCCACCCGACCAGTTGCTCCTCCTCTGTAAGCAAAGAATAATATGGAGCATTGTGTCAAAGTTGCTGACAATGCCATCCAAGGGAATCTTATCTGTTTGCTCTGAAAAAATTTTTTTTTAAAGGCGAGAGCTTCTGTAATATACAACACAGTCCTAAAACATGTTATAGATGCTCAGAACTTGTTGAGCATCCAGGATCAGACCAGCCTCATGTTTGGCTGATTTTTTTTTTTTTTTTTTTTAACTTGATACCCCAGTTTCCTAATGACATTTGACTGAAAACTACATACAGTGGATGTATGGAGGACTTTGATTCAACATAGCACACATTTTACACAATAAGGGACTTTGTAGGGATACACAAAACATGCAAAAGCAGTTAAAGAATATGATTAGTCTGACTGTAACCACTAAGCCATTTTTGTTTTTTAATAGTAAACCTCATTTGCATTTGGCACTTTTGGAAGGATTTCACAGACTATAGTCTGACATTACTGTCTTAGAGGAAAACCTGGTTTGATCTAATTATCAGCAAAGAACTGAAAGCCAACACTTTTAAATTTTCAAACAAGCACCATTGGGCTTTCTCTCCTGCTGCCCCAAACACTTGGTAGGAGCTCCCTGAAAACATCTGTTAAGCTACTTCATTATCCTCCTTCATGCTCCTCCTTAAAACTCTCATTTGCGGTGATGCCCATAAAGATAACTTAGAACAGTTAGACTGCTGGTGTGTAAGACCACTGTCTACCACACTGACCAATACTGTCTCTTTTCCTTGTTCTCCCCCATCTGTGTACATGTGTTGTATCTTGTCTTAAAGTTAGACTGTAAACCCTTTTGGGGCAGACATTATCTTTCTGTTCTGTGTTTGTAGAGCACCTAGCACAATGGGGTTCTGGACTGTGACTGCAGCTTGTAGGCACTATGGTAATACAAATAAGTAATAATGGGATAAGTTTGTATTCCTAACTGTAGAACCCCAACTTCATTTTAAATGTATATGCTTTTCCTGTAGCAATTCTCAAACACATTGTAGAAGCTACTGGAATGCTCAAATATTGCTGTTTATCAGAATTATTATTTTTATGACCTCAGTATGAAAATATTTCTTTGTTCTGATTGACAGATCTTTGATGGCCACTCAGATTACATTAATGATCTGGTGTTTGCCCCTAAAGACGGTCAGGATATTGCAAGTGTGAGTGATGATCACACCTGCAGGTATGTATTCTCTTCCCAGTGCGATTGAAATCCTGGACTGCCTTAGATGCTTTTAATGAGGAGGGAAGCTATCCCTTGCTAGCAACTCCTATAGGCTTAGGCAAAGAGAGCCAAGCGCCTATCCTACTGTACCAGAGGCTGCCACAGCACTGCAGATGTAACAGCCAGAGATACTCTTTCTCTGTCCCCTGCAATGCGGCAGGCAGACATCAGGACTGCTGAGCAGCTGCAGTAGGGAAGGGACAGTAGCTGCTCAGAATTCCTCGTGAGATGCAGAGGAAGTGATGGCAGGATTATGAGGAGGCGGTGCCTTTACCTTTTCCCTTGAGTGACAGGGCTGACTCAAACACTTATGTTTAAAAATCACAGGGGAAGTCTCAGGAAACATATTTAATTAAAAATCAAATATGGTTAGAGAGTCAAGGGCCATCAGTGACCCCAAAACCACAGGTTGATGCCTCTGCGCTAATGGTTCAATGATAAATAATGCAGTAGAGACTCTTCAAGGATACATGACAAGGCTGGAATAGAGCATTCTACAAGGGAGAGGAAAGCTGAAGAAAATGGTGACGCTTGAATATTCCAAAGAGATGGGGAAGATGTCAGAACAGAGGTGATTTGTGTAGTTTAAGATGATTGTGTTTGTGTTTTTTTTAGTTACTGATATAACAATCACTCTTAAATAGATCATTAGCCAAATAACACCCAAAATAACCCCTACCCCTGATTTCTCCATTTAAGAGTAGGAGTGAGGTTCCTCCTGCGCAGCCAGAAACAAATAAAATTAAAGCTAGATACGATATGTGATGTGTGTACTCTGGGACAGATCATCATTGCTCCAGTAACTTAAACTGAACTACATTGATTTACACCAGCTGAGGATTTGGCCTTTAGAACCCATGGTAAAAAGTTCAGACAAAATCAAAGCCACACAGACATGCACATCCCTTTACCAAATGTTCAGTGTAACTTATATTGTTAAAATCAGCCATATTGGAAAAGCATTACTCTTTTAAATGACAAAGTAAGACACTTGTAGGGTTTATAAGCCTAGAATGGGAGTTGTAAACTTAAGAGGGGGGAGCCATATTATTCCTAATTGTATTTTGTTAAACAAGACCATTTAAACTTCTAGGCAATCCTTTTCTAAAGGAATTATTTTTTAAATATCTCACTTTTATGCACAATAGCTGGACTTTCTAATTTATCATTTTGGATGAGATTTTGGTCTGTCTTTTTTGGGGGGGGGGGGGGAAATGAAGAGAAGATTTAATAAATAGAACCCAAAGGCTATGAGCTCCTTACTTCTGTGAGTAAGGAAGACATTTCATACAGTGGGCTACACGATGTTAAATTAATGCCCACTGGGAATTCAGAGGTATTACCTTGGTCACTAGAAGGGTCCTGTATTTTTTTTCAAAACATACAACAAAAGTCTTTTAAAAATGATACTTTTAAGAGATACTAAGAGCATTCTCTTTTCAATCCATGTCCTTGGTTTCTTCATTTAGTACTAGGTGTTTCTTCAGCAAAGAGTTGTTTAAATATTTCCATTAAATACAATGTATTTAGGGATGAAAGAAAGAACTGTTTAAACTGTAGTAATCCACTTGACACCAAAAGAATAAGATACGATTTTTTAATGAAAGTATAACACCACCGAAATTTGAACTCAATAGCTGTGAAATATAAGACAGCCACTTTATCCATTGTACACTGTAAAGTCTGGCTAACAGCCATGGGAAGAAGTGGGATGTATTTGGCCACCTGAGAGTTCTCATATTTTTTCTATTCATGGGATAGAAACGTGGAGAATGATGATAACATTTTCATTTAAAAACTGAATATAGAGCTATACTCCAAAAATCAAAAGAGAGTGCAATCCACAGGTCTTACAAAGACTTGTAAAAATTAATAGAAATCATACTTAATTTGTTGTATAATTTGCCTCTTCAACAAAAATTCAACAGCTATTAGTTGCTCTAGGAATAGGGCATCTTTTGAAATGGTTATGCTATGCAATACTAGAGCAATTAGTACAAGAATACAAAAAGGATAAAGTTTCCAGTGTTTGGGGGTTTTGCTAGATTTCTCACTGTTAGGTCCTGTATAGATACAAACAGTGCTCTTCTTCCAACTTGCCTGTAGTTAATACAGTAATTCTCAATATACAGCTTTCTGGACTTCATAGAAGTGTCTCTAGGTTTTTCCTATTTTCATCTCTACAACAGTGGATTTAATGCAGTTTTAAATGAGTAATATTCTTACTATATCAGAAATTTTAATTCTGTGGAGATATAGAAATATTTTATACACTAAAACTTTTTGCTATAATGCTGTCAGAATATCAGGGATGGGCCTGATCAGTTCTTGGATGAAGACCTCCAGTAAAAGTCTAGATTCTGCTTTGGTGATTCATTAGGTGGTACATTCCTTGTGAGTCCAGGTTGAATAAGTCCTGTAGTTCAACAATTCCCAAAGTGTAGCACTTACTAGGAGTCCATGATGTAGGCACCCCCTTATTTCCAGCTGCAAAATTGAAATGAGAATAAGTACACTGATTTTCTATGAAAGCAGTTCCAGTAATGGTGTGTGGAGTCATGAACAAAAGGAGAGGTGTCCGGAAGTCAATTTCTGTGTTTAAAATAACTTCCTCTCCTAAACATCTGTACGATACAGTTGATTCATTTCATTCCAGAGGTAGCTACATTTCTGTGGTGGATGAAATGATCCCTGAGAATAGTTTATCTATCAACTTACAGGGATGCTGTTGATTTTTAAAATCTCACTTGTTCTTTTTAACGTAAGATGTAGGTAAACAGGAGATCTTGGAGTTCCCAGGGAGATATTTTTCTGGATTTTTTCAGTTTTACTTTGTGCATTTGGCAGTACGGTTTTCCCTGTATAATATGTCAAGCAATTTCCCATGTACTTTGGGTGAGTCTTTTTTTCACAGAAGAAGAGAGAAAAATCATTTTTTTTTTAAATTGAAAATGTAATGGCAAAATCACAATAATTAACAGAGGGCCATAGAGGCAGGTGTCAGACCTGAAACAAATGTTAATCATAATTATTATATTAACCAAACTTTAAAAATCATTTCATTTCAGTGGTAAACCATGCAAATTAATGTGGAATATATCAGAACAAAGTAAAAGCAAAGTAATTATGCACAACATTTTTTTTGTATTATTTTATATCTCTTCAAAGAATACTCAAGTTTGGGCATTGATACACTTCCAACTGAGAGCCACATACTGTTGTTCTAATAGAAAATTAAACTGCAAAATTTGATTTTGGATGTCATCTCACTGCTTGACTAGAGTTTCAGTTGGTTTTTCATGCTCTATCAGTGGTTCTCAACCTATTTACCATTGTGGGCTGCATCCAATACTACCTGTATGACCCTGAGAATGTCACATGGGCCACAGCTGCGTGCTGATTTGGGCAACGGGTTGAGGACCAATCTGAAACTCAAGTATGTCAAAGAGTTCTGAATACACTGGTTTGCACCAATTTGCTGGGAAAGGATCTGAAAACCTGTTTGAACTCCCCCCGGGTAGCATCAGAACTCTTGTCGGCCAATGGCAGGCACCCCTTGTTAGAAGGGCTGCAGTTGGTCAGTAATGCTGTCTGTGTCATGTGTTAGGATTGGCTGTCACCATCCAAGGCTGGGGTCAGACTCCAGCACGCACAGCAGCACCCACCTACCCACCCTTATTTTTTATATCATGGCAAAAGATATGTATATTGCAGGCCCGTTCCCCCTTTTTTTTTGTATGTGTATGGTGCTGCTTTGTTGCTGCATCTCAGATAATTTCTCACTTCCATTCATTTTGGACTATTCGTGCCAAGGTACAGGCTGTTCCATTGACATGGACTCTAGGAATTTATGTGGGTCACAATCAGGTTCAATCTTTATTTCTTTTTGTTTCACGTGACCACAAATTTTGCTTCTGCATCCTGGCAGCAAGGGTTAGATTAGCTTCTTGAATGGAGATATGTGGGAGAAGGATTGACATCAGGAAGGTGTGTTTCATTGTTAGAGATTGGATTTGCTGGAATGCCAAAATTTAGTGCAATGTTCAGTTTCCCAGTGCAATAGCTTGCCCAACACTATGAATCTTGGTAGATCTATTTGACCTTTGAACAGTTGGGTTGCTCAGTATTATAAAAACCAAAATGAAGGAAAGCCAGTGATGGCTCCGGACTGCTGTTTCTTTCCCTTGTCCTTCACTTTTGTTAAAACCATTGCCAGGACATGTTGTTCCTGGGTGTCATTTTGTTAATTCAATAAACATTTCAGACTCTTGGCCATAGTGTGCACAAAATTGCTGCCTGTCCTCATTTGTTCCTGCCTCCTGCAATGTTGAATATCTTTGTCACCACTCTTATTTAGTCTTTATAGCACATGTTCAAAATTATTCCTTTTTTTTTCTTGCCAGAATAAAAAAATGAGCAGATTTTTATTGTACTCTGTATTATTTTATTCTTACCCTATTTATTCTGGCAGAACACCACCTCCAGTATCTGGAATGCATTGATACCTCTTTTTTTTATAATGCTACCAAAACATTTCTTCTTTAAGGACTGAGACTTTTCAAATCCAAGGCTTGTTGAGCTCATTCACCAAGATAGCTATTATGCATTGTAATGGGTTACAATGGAGAAGGAATTGGAATAAGATTAAAGATTGTGACATAATGAAAATATTTCCTGATTTTTGGATTCCATAGTCTTATATTCTGCCCATTTTTTGTTGTTGTTGTATGCATCCTAATATGTCCCCCAGATGTGATTCTGTTTAGCTGCTATTGCACTGCTATTTGTGGTCATTATGCAAGTTTAAGCCTGTCTCCTATGTACAGTATCTGATAATCCTGTAAAAGTAAAAGCAGTTTATGAAACAAATCTTTGGAACTTAGTTGAATAAGCTTTAATTATGAAGCAACAGAGGGTCCTGTGGCACCTTTAAGACTAACAGAAGTATTGGAGCATAA